GCTTGTTTTTATTATTCTGACTCAGAAAAGGTCTCAGCATATTACTTATAAAAAGGGATTTGGATCATTTCATACGATATAATATATGTTTTCTCTTGTTATAAAGCAAGATATTTATTAAATAAAATTCTACTGTTTCATTTTTCAAGGTATTGATTTCAACCAAAGGTCAGAGTCCTCCGGAGGATTTCACCGAAAAAGATAAGCTACTGCTTCTTCAGGTGAATTATAACTGTTTTCTCTTAGTATTTTTATCTTTCCTTTCTCTCTCTCTCTCTCTCTCTCTCTTTCTCTCTAGTGTTAAGCAGGAATTTAGTCACTTTAGGCCATTTAAGGTGATTTTTCGTATGTAAGTAGAGTTTCGAGATTACCAGTAAATCAGTAATATGAAATACTTAAATACGAAAAATAAGTAACGTAGTCTATTGTTATAGCAAATATACGTTTGCTTCATTGGAAATCCCACGAAAGAATGTGATATGAAAAAAGGCCTAGCCTTCCTTGAAATTCACATCTGCCCTGTGACCCAAGGGCACTCGTGGCAATGTGGCCGAGTGTTTAACGTGTCAAGCTCACATTCTGCACTGTCACGTTTCGACTCCTGCTGGGGGTGTTGATAAGACCGATGCGAGGTCGAAACTGTAGTCCACTTCTGTCCGGATGAGAACAACTTTAGGAAAACAAGATATGTGTAACTCAATGGAAGCGTCAGCTCTACTCATATTATTGTGGAAAAATTCTACTACCCGTCCTTCATCACCTTAAACGAAATAAAGTGAATACATCTCACATTCAAGGTGAGTTATGGACCGATAATTGAGTTTTTCAGATGACATGGATAGACCTTTTATTGTCATTGAATGTCATAAGCTTTGCTTCCCTAAAGGTTCTCTCATCTAGAGTGGACTAGATTTTTAGACCTCGCCCAAGTCTATACTGGTTTGTAAATATTGTGGCTACAACATCACTCCTTTACACAACCACGGGCTTCAGTGGGTCACCGAACAGACGTGACATTCATTGCCAGGCATCTCCTAAGGCACTTTTATACTTGGATTTTCGATTAACCAAAGGTGCTTTTTATTGTCGAATAGTTGTCCTTAGTCCAATCGTCTTCTTCTTGCTGTCTTCGCCGAATCTCCAAGATAGCCCGAGTAGTACGCGAAAATAATTAGGTACAACACTAAGGGCTGAGGAGCGATGCCACAACGGCTGAACAGTAACTCAGTCAGGGAGATTGTCTTCACTTGTTACTTAGATAAGTTGTAACTATGGGATAATTATGGCGCCTCTCACTGACGATGCTGGCGAAACGTCTGGCAATGTAGCAAGTCAATGGTCCGAACCTGGAAATCACGAATACCTTGGCAAAGGACGCATGACTATATACGTTACACAAGGTTTCCCTGACGTTCTGATCAGGTTGCGAAAACGAGGTCAAGCTAACATTATACAGCTAGAGGAGATTACGACCAAACGAAAGGCCACATCATCTTGGTCTTTATATATATAATATACTTTATTAAATTAAGGGTCCTTTATATCATTCCATAACGTTTTTCCTTAGTAATTCATCCTACCTTTCTCTATTATTAAGGGTAAAATATCCTGTAATTTTCTTCAAATTTAATGGAATAAAGATCAGAGCCGTCTTAAGCTATATTGGAACAAAAGAACAAGCTTCGAAACCTTCTTTTAATTAATATAAGCCCGTTTTATTTCTCACTCTTGATGTATATAGCTATAGACCAAAACACTTTCGAAATTACTAAAATAATGAGATGTATTCACCCTATTTCGTCTAAGGTGATGAAGGACTGGTAGTAGAATTTTCCCACAATGATATAAGTTGAGCTGACGTTTCCGTTGAATTTCACATAGCCTTACTTTCCCAAAAGTTGTTCTCATCCAGGGTGGACTGCGGTTTCGACCTTGCATCGGTCTTATCAACACCCTTAGCGGGATTCGAACCGCGACAGTGCAGGACGGTAGCTTGACACGCTAAGCACTCGGCTACACTGCCACGAGTACCCTTGAGTCACAGGGCATAAGTGAGTTTCAAGGAGGGTCAGGCGTCTGCCATATCATATTCTTTTGGTGGGAGTATGGATGAAGCAAACGTATGTTTTGCTATAACAATCGACAACGTTACTTATATTCGTGAGTGAGTAGGGTCTCGAGACTACTAGTAAATCAGTGTAATGAGATGTATTCACCCTATTTCGTCTAAGAGGATGAAGCCCGTTTTATTTCTCACTCTTGATTTTTAATGTATATAGCTATAGACCAAAACACTTTCGAAATTATTAAAATATAATTTGCCAAAAAATCATACTTGGTGTTAGTTGGTGGACCTCTAGATAATACAAGTAGTGGGTTTTCCTTATCTTGCGTCATCTGTCAACTATGGAAGTTACTTGTTTGGTAGAATTCAAATAAAAAGGCTGAATCGCCATCTTCAGCCTGAGGGACCCCTCGAGTTTTATATTTTATTTTTGAATCTCCTTTCTGAATAGATCTCGATTAAATGCTCCGACATCAGCAATCCTTGTAGGCCTTGGCCCCAATGTCTAGTATGGGCAAACTTGGTTTGCTTCGAGTTCTTTCGCCAGGGTGATCGAGAACGACTTCAGTGGGATCTCGAGCCAACAGCTGCCATGGATCGTCGATCTGCCTGTATTCCGGCAATACAAAAAGGTAATCTTCCTATCTACCAAGAGTTTTGATAGATGCAATATATAACCCAACCGATCTTATCTATTTATAAATATATTCCTGGGTTTAAATCTACTTGCAAAAGCCTTATATAAGCTGAGAAATAGCTTATGGAATAACTAGCTGATGCATCTATAGTAAACTTATATCTTACTGTTATGACGGCCTCACTTTTATTGAACTCGTCTGACTGTCACCTTATCTCTATACTTGATTTATCCCACATGCAATTGATGTAGAACGTATTAGTTTACTAAGTCAGTCGGCCTCTTTCCGCTAGTTTTATCCTCTCGCATACAGGCTTCTCATGCTCTGCATACCCCCAGTTTCCATGCCCAGATTTGACTCATGCATTCGTCTGATCAACTATCTTAATCGCCCCCCATCCTGGCTTTTTTACTGTCGACCCACCACATTCTTGCCAGCTGTATCTGGGCCTATCATATAATCAACTACACTATGCCCCTTCACATAAAGCTTCAATAGCTCCTAGCTAAATCCACTTATCTACAGGAGTAGCATCCTCTGCTCGACTAAGTCTGCCCATATAATGCTCTCGTGCGCTGTTTTCTTTGCCTCAGCACTCCACTTTATTCTCATAGTAATGCCTTGCCTCGACACATCAACCGTGAATAGTTCCGACACCCGACCTTAAACACTACATTATTATGTACACCTCCCGAATATAAATCCCCTTCACATGCTTGTATCTTCTATTTTTATACGACTTGAGGTCTCCCACACCTTCGTCTATGAGTTTAGGCCACAAAATTAATAATATTTTGCCAATATTTTAAAATCTAGACACTTATGATCTAGTTCATACGATTCTTGTTTGCCATTCAAAGTGATTAGCCATTCTATACGCAGAATTCTGGATCATCAGCTCATCTCGATAACTAGAAATATTCTTGGCTCAACTGATCTCTTTGAGAGTATAATAAACACTTCAGGAATTCTAGTTGAAATAACCAGGGCCTATCTTAGCCTAAGAATGTGGCACGAGTTAAATTTCTTTTAGCCCAAAAATTTAAATAAAAGGTTGCTCTTGAATAATCCTATAACAACTAAAAATAAATTATATACTTATTAAGATTATCTATTAAAGTCTCTTTTTTGACCTCAGCTTTTACGAAAGATATCAAAATATCCTTCTTTTATTCTTTAATTTGCCCCACACAGGTTTTATGCTCTGCGTTGTTCGACCTCTCTTCGATGCGCTTCATACTTTCTTTGCAAGTCCCCTGACAGCCACTCTATTAGCAAACCTTGACGTAAACCTAAAGCATTGGCAGTCCGCTCTGGACGCCATCTCCGTACCAGGTAACATTCGTAATCAGGTCATTCCACCCCGACAGTCACAGCAACTGTCTCAATTGCAAAGTCAACGACAACAGAGGCAAGAACAACAGTCATTGGAAGAAGAAACGGAGCCTCAGGAAAAGACAGATGCAGGCCAAGTCAGCCATGATAAAGCCAAGTCGTTTAGTTTACGCGAAGAACGACAAAGTACGAAGGAAAAACAGAAAAATGTGGCTGAGACACGAAAGGTATTTAGGAAACAGCCTGAAATTTTTCTCAAACGATTCTTTATTGATACTAATTTACTTGTATTCACTTATCTGTGTTTTGGTGAGTTTATGCAGCTACATATTTATTGCATTCTTGTCCGGGCGTACTTTGGATCAGAAAATCTACTAGCGATTGTAAGGACTAGTTCAGAAAAAAGAGCCTCTTGAGGGACTTTGTCCAAAAGATTTAGCCTCTTAGAGTTAATTATTTGCGAGAGTGAAAGTGAGTATTTCAATTATAGAGCTTACTGCACGAAGACCTCCTGACGAGCAGTAAGTACAATGAGAACTTATCATGGCAATTGGTAAGTCCAAGCTCAAACTACCTGTGAGTCTATCCGAAATAATATGGATGACTGCAGGTATTCATATTAAATGGAAAAGTACAGTGGTTATCCTGATCCGCAATCAGAGTTGGGCCTTAAACTGTGACAACTGCAAGGGTATCTCATTGT